ATAGATAGATAGATAGATAGATAGATAGATAGATAGATAATTAACCATTAAATTAAATCAATCCCCCAAAATAACTAAAATAACTAACTAAACATGTGCCTTTTCGCTAGCTTTCGGCCTCTCTTGGGCCCCCACCCCCCTGAGGGCCCTGCAGGTGTTCGTTACCTGTCCTTTGAAATGGGGGCCACCAGCGGAGCGTACCAGTTGACTGCGACCTCGCAGTGAGCGTCCAGGTAGATCAGAACCTACGACACAAAGAACGTGAGCCCGCGGGGCCCAGTTTCCGGCATTTCGCCGCTCCCCGGTCCGGCGGAAAGTCAAAGGTGAGGACCTGTCCTCTGTTAGATGGTCAGATCCCCATCTGGGCCACTCAGAAGGCCTCAAATTTACAGAAAGCCTGCCCCGGTGGCGGCTGGAGGAGGAGCTGATACCTGTCCTTTGGTGGCCTTCTTGGCTCCGATGCTACGGGCCTGTATGAGTCCCTCTCTCTTCTCGTTCCTGAAGACTTTGACCAGACCGTTCCACTGCTTGATGTAGTCCTCCAGGCGCTCCTTCAGGTGCACTGCACACAGAGAACAACGTCTCGCTTAGCAAACCAAAGTGAACGGCGGGGAGTCCACAGTCGGGAGGGGAGCCCAAACAGGACGTCTACCAATCCAGTTTTTACTCATAAAGCACCAAATCACAACAAACAGCATCCCTAGGCACTTCACTATAAGCAAATTCATTAGAATAAAATCCAAAACATTCACTATCCCAACAAATGGAGTTCATTCAATTCCAAAAATTCATCAGGAGTTAATTTAAGAAGGTTCCGAGGCAGACTACAGAGCTTCTATTCTAGCCAATCCCCATCCTGAGTGTGCACCAGGAGACTGTGGGGGGAAACAACTCCCTCTGAACAGGAAGAAGCCTTCATGAGAACCAGAGGGAGGTAGCTGAACTGAGGCCTCATCCTTTAGCTTTAGCTCACCAGATCAGGATTCTGGACTGGCGTCATTTGAAGTCTCCCCTTACCAGATAGAACTCATCTTCAGAGATCTTTGCTAAATGTTTTGTTTCTGTGACAGGCAGCTCCTCACACTGAGCATTGTGGGACATTGTGAGGGGAAGGGAAGCCCACCTTTGTTGCTATAGTCGTCGATCATGACGATCTCAGCCAGGTATCTCCGGGGAGTCCTCTTGATGACACTGTGGATGGTCCTCATGAGAGTGGACCAGCCCTCGTTATGGAAGACGATTATCACGCTGGAGGTCAGCAGTCGGTCATCATAGTGCCAGAACTTACACCTGCAGGAGACAGAGAGGAAGCGCATCACTCAGGCCCCTTTTCAGGACGGGACCAGGACCGGGACTGGGACCAGGACCGGGACCAGGACCAGGACCAGGACCTGTCTGACCAGAATATTTAAGCAAAAGACACACTCACATACACACAAAATGACGTGTTTTCACTTTCATTAGCAAAGTGAAGATAATTCTTCATAATCTTCATACTTAAACTGGACGATTTCCCACCTTGAAGACGACTAACATTTGCATCTGAAATCAGTTGCTTCACAAACTCCTTCAGGCCCACCGTCCCACATCCATGACTACTAAAAACATTTGTTTGATGGGAAACAGTCCACTTCCTGTGGGTTGTTCCCTCTCCAATGTCACCAAAGTGGCATTTAAAGGGTTAAAATGCTCTAAAGTTTTAAGGTTGGGTGGCTCTGAGCAGGGCTGATTGTTTAAGAGCTTTACGGAAAAAAATATTTACTTATTTAGTGACACAGCAGTTTTTTGGAAGAGGACAGTTTTGCCCTTAATGACTTAGAAATCAGGAAATGAAACTACGGGGCTGGACGGTTGGGTCTTACTCTTCATGTCGTATATCACTGATGCTCCGGTCCAGCGAGATCATATCACTGGCCACCATGTTGAAGCCAAACTCCTTGATAGAAGCTTGCACCGAGTCTTTGTACTCTGGACCCAGGACGAATGGTTTGGCTCCCTCTCCGGGACCCCCGGGAACCCCTGGAGGTTCTGGCTCCTGTGGCTCAAAGTTTCCCAGGACGCCTCTCTTCAGGACGGGGCTGGTGTAGTCGTGCGTGTGAGGCCTGAAGGTCACATACTGCTGCTGGATGACCTGCTTCTGGTCAGGCTGCTGGACGGGGTCCTGCTGGGGGTTGGCCTCCCCTGGAGACGGCGGGCAGATAGCAAACGAAGGCTCAGAGGACACTTTTTAGAACTTTTTATCTAATCATTTTAGTAATTGTACATAACGTCTCTTGAAAAAAACTCAAGTAGTAAACATCACGACAAACAAATACTGAAAATATTCCCAATTATGACAGAAGGCAGAGCAGACGACATCCACAATCTGTAATGTGTGACCAAACAGGACCCTTCCCATAGAGGAATTCCATTCTCATCCCATCTTCCTCTCCATCAGACACCTAAATATTCTGAAATACTAGTCCATCTTTCTAGAAAAGTGTCCATAGTTAGCTGCAGACTTGCAGTCATTCTCTCCATCGTTTAAACATGTCTCAGTCTCTGGACCCATTCACTTATGGTTGATGGTTTTACATCTCTCCAGTGCATAGTAATCATTTTCTTTGCTTCCAGTAAAAGAACTCTCAGTACATATCTCTGAGCTACATTTAGGCATGGCTCCCAATAAAAATATCACTGGTTCAGGAGTCACCTTTACTTTCAATATTCCTTCTATTTCCTTTTTAATATTGTCCCGAAATCCTTGTATTACTGGACAATCACAAAAAATGTGTGTGATGTCTCCAATATTTCACCAACAGAATTCTACACTGGGATTTTTCACAAGTGAGGAGATGTTAAATTAAAGTATCTGATCTTCACTTTCCGGTCAAATTCTTTCCATAATTGGCTGCTAATTCCCCTATGAGAGCCGATACAAAAACAACTGAATTTAAGTCTGAAAATACAGCTTGAGTCAACCTATTTAACTCCATAGTTTGACTCCATTAGGCCTAATCTAGTTAAAAATGAGAGTCTGCCTTTGACTGCTTTTTCAGTGTTATTGTAGATGTAGATCTAATAGGCCAAAGGACGAATGAGAACCATCCCATTCAGACGCGTTCTGGCCTGAGCTTCGGGGAGTTTGGGTTCGTGTGACTCACCGTGTTTCTGCCTGATGGAGTTCAGGTCGACCTCCACCCCCTCCACGTGAGGCCAGGGCACCACCGGCTTAAACTGGTCCCCGGGCTCTCTGTTGGGCAGCAGGCCGTCCTCCTGTGGGGCGGAACGAGACAAAAAGCTCCATCAGAGACTGATGGAGGACTGGTTGCCGTGGCAACAGATGAAAGCTGCTGCCTCACCTACAGGTTAAAGGAGGAAGAGCAGAGCCTCTAAAAGCAGGAGTGAGAGGAAAAAATGCATCCGAATTCACAAAATGCCGAATGTGATATAACTAATAAGAGGAATAAATAAAATAAAGAATAATGTGGAAACGTTTTTCCCCGTTTCTGCCTATAAACCCGATAAACTGACTTCTCTGTGCTGCTTTTTGTTGTCCCTGATGCCCCACCCAGAGCACAAAGATCCAGCTAAACCTCCAGGCTTCCAGCTAAAGCCTCCATCAAGTCCCCCATGTTCCACCCTGGTACCGGTCCAGCATCCAGCTGTGGTCTGGAACCACATGGCTCCAGACCCCAGCTGAGGCTGAACTCCATTTCCCATCAGTCCGTGCTGCCCAACGGCCATAGTCTGCCTCCAGTCCCTTCCAGAGTTTCGGTTCCCGGTAAGAGGTTTGGAGGATGCCGACAGCCACCGGCGGTCGGACCCGTTCTGGGGACACCACAAAGCCGCTAACAGCCGCCTCGTTCCGGGGTAAACATCCGTCCCGGGGCTCGGACCCGCCCTCTGACACCATCCCGGTGACATGTGCGGACATACATCCGGGTGTGACCCGGGAGCCACTGGGAACAGCCCCAGCCCGCGTCCCGGGGGCCGCCGGAGCCGTCGCCGGCCGCGGTGGAGGCGGTACCCCCGCCCCGGTCCCCCGGACCCCCCGCCCCCACCGCGACCCGCCGGACAGCCGCGGTTACTTCCTGCCGTCTTACCCGCTTCCTGAAGGGGTCGTCGTCGGTGGGCTTCGGCGACAGAGACGACCAGAGCACCACCAGAGCCAGGAACGTCCCGACGACCAGCAAACTCCGGAGGAGGAAGCCCACTTTCAGCCTCATGCTGGAGCTAAGCTAAGCTAAGCTAGGCTAGGCTAGCTGCGCACCGGACCTCCGCGCGAAGGGGCACGGGGGGGAATAAAAAAAAAAAAGGGGCGACGTTTGGCTCACTGTCCGCTGGAATCACCGCCGCCAGCAGCCCGCACGCCTCTCATATCCTGCTGTCTGCCCCCCCCCACCCCGGACGCGGATCTGACACGACTCCAGTGCGGCGGCGCCTCCGCTCACCCGGAAGTAGGAACTGCCAGCGGGGGTGACGTCACAGGGGACGCGTTGGCTACGTTCCCGGGCGTGGAAGCGGGGTCCCCAAAACCCCCAATCCAGTTCCAGCCCCGGTCGGTGTCAGTCTGGAGCCCAGTCCAGCTGTCAGCGCGCGACAAGCGGGTCACCTGCACAGGTGACAGTCCATCACAGAAACACAGACACACACACACACACACACACACACACACAGTCCGCAGTCTCCAGTGAACCCAGCGTGCCTGGACAAACAGGGGACCCGGACACAGACACAGGGTGGACATGAAACCTCCTCACCAGAGCCAGAACCCCCCCATTGTTAGACCACAATTCCCACTTCATTCCCAATTCATATAGAACACAGGCACTAAAGAATCCTGTTTGCTCTCCTGTGTACACACACTGGAGTTATAACAAAGACTTTATTACTGGCACCCGCACAGTTTATGACCACGTTGTATTTTACAGGTGAGGTGAGCAGGATCTCCAGGATCTGGACGTCCCGCCTGGAGGAGTCAAATCATTTCCCTCTGGGATTAATAAAGTATTTCTGATTCTGATTCTGAGCCTCGTCAGACGGGAGTTTGAATAAAAATCTCTACACTAAGGCTCTCGTCCGGTTTTGGACCGGTCAGGCTAACGTTCTGCTAACGTTCCTGGTTAGTTTGAAACTCCGGATGATCCCAGTGGGAGGATGAGCACCATTCCAGCTTCAAACCACAGAAAATGTTCTCTGTGTGCACTCCTAAAGCATCTGAGTCAACCGACTCCACTGTTGAGCAACAAAACACACAAAGGAGACACACTTTTTGCTTTGTCCCTGCTGGGAGGTGGCTGTGTGCTATGTTTAGAATCAAACAGCAGCCCGTGTGAGGAAAGCTCCCCCCTAAAGATGAATAAAAAGGTTCATAAAAGAGAGAGGTTTAGTTCTGCCCCTTAAAGACTTTTGGAGAGCGATGACGCAGACGTGTTATTGTGTTCAAAGTTGCCGGTTGCGTAAATAAAGGAGTCATTTCACACTCCCGTTTCTGAAACACGTTGATCCGCATACTTAGCAACTGGCAGTTCGCACCCAGACCCCACCCAGTTGGGCCTGCTGGCTGTGGGGCCACAGCCCTGGAGCCAGTCAGCGTACGCCATCTTATCTGTTTATCTCAGATTATTCTGTTCATAAACACCATGAATCCTCCATGGATTGGAGCTGGTTTCTGAAGGAGGCTGGAGGAAGACCGTCCAGGTGATTATACACCCAAAGACCCACATGAAAATGAATTCACACGCTCCTATGATGAAGACATAAGCCTAAACTTCCACCGAACCGTTGTCAGAACAGTTATTATTTAATTTATTTAATTCAAGATCCGGGCATGCCTAACCCAACATGCTGCCCAGGTCCTGGTCCAGTCTGTGGGTATCTCCCCCCCTCCTAACAGGTCTCCTAGCCTGGACGGTAAAACCCTTACAGATGATCCAGATCCTGGTCTTCAATCAGCTCAAAAAGTCTCCCGTCACCCCTCTGTTCATTGAGCTTCACTGGCTAACCCCGGTTACCCCTGGTTACCCCCGGTTACCACTGGCTGCCTGCATCAAATTCAATTCCCTGATTCTGGCCCTCAAAGTGCTTAAGGTTCCGCCTCCCGTCTACTTGAACCCTCTTCCAAAGGCTTTTGTCCCAACTCGGTCATCATTGGATTGTGGTCCAGCAGAGCTACACCCCCACTTAAAGACAATCCAGACTGTTTTCATGTGTTGTTCCAAGATGGTGGAACGATCTACCAGGCGCTACAAGAACAGCAGCAGGTCCCTTTCTATCTTTGGGGAACTCTAAAAGACCCACCTCTTCTTATCCTGACTCTTCCCCACACCTCTGGACCCCCTCCACTTCTTCTCTTGCTGCCACCACTGATTTTGACTGGGGATTTTCCTCTAGAGAACTTATTGTCATGTTGATGATAACTGTGAAATTGCGTCTACAGTCATGGCCAAAAGTATTGAGAATGACACAAATATTATGGTCTTTCTTGGGCGCCCCGGAGCCATTTTGGCAACAATGACGTTGAAATGTGTTTTGGGGGATAAAGTTAATTTTCTAGGCAAATATTGACTTTGCAATTAATTGCTGTTATGCTGAACACTTTTTTTATAACATTCTGGAGTATATTAAAATTGCCATTATAAAAACTGAAGCAGTAGACTTTGTAAATATTAACATTTGAATCATTCTCAAAACTTTTGGCCATTACTGTACTTAGTAAGTTGCTTTGGATAAAACCATCTGCTAGATGTAGAAACAGAAACACTTAAGCGAATGTTCTGGATCAACTGAGGGGCATCTCAGTATAGTAATCTGTTTTCTATCCGTTTCCTCATTTTATACCTCATGCCAACATTAAAAACAAATGTATCAAACCAAGTTCTGTCCTCCATGAGATGCTGGTCTTCTTCACTTTACATTTTCTATGAGAACTGAGATGCATTAGAAACTGGAACTCGTTTTCAGGCCCATCTGATCATTCCGGTTTCATTGGCTCTCAGTAAATGTCATCTCTGGACTGTCCAGTTTATGCTAACGCAGTCAGAATAAAACGGATTCAACTCTAAAAATGGCTGACTGATGACAACATCTATTTCTTTTATTTCACCCTCAGGTGAAACGACATAACAGCAGTGAAACAGAGGGATTGTTACATCTTTTTAAATCACCAGGAAACAAACGCACAAACATGTGTCAGACAGCCAGGAGACCTGTCCCAAACCCACAAAGGCCTGATGAAGACGTTTGTTTATTTAATTGAAATTTAAATAAACAATTTTATTGAAATGAAAAATTAAAGGAAAAATCTATTAAATTAAAATAATTATTTTGACTTATTTAAACTAATTAATTACATTAAATAATTCTAATTTATTTTATTTACAATTTTACAATTTTTTAAAAATTAAATTGTGATTTGATTACATTTCATTCAAGTGAAAAATAAGTCATTTTAATCTTATTTAAGCCACAGCTCTGCTGTGTTTGTCTTAAAATGGACACAGTCATGTGTGAGTCGTGAAAATCCTTCCGGTCAGCAGCTCTTACTGGGATTTTTGTTGTTCTGGACGGTTTTGTGACATCTAACGGGATGATATGTCGTTTATTCACAAACAAAGGAGCACTGGAGCGGAGCCCAGCGGGGCTCCGAACACACCACAGAAGGGTGGTGGGGGTGGGGGGGTGGGGGGTTTCTGTGAGGAGGCAGAGAGAGGTCCTTTACACATCTGGTCACAGGCATGCGTGTGGGTCCGCCCCCCTACATGTTCTCCAGGTACTGGGGGGGCACGGGGGGGGAGGGGGAGGAGGGGGAGGAGCTGGAGCCGCGACCGGCCAATCACGCTCCGGATCCGCAGGCGGCACAGCAGGCACAGACTCCTGGGAGAACCTGGGGACACACACACAGTGGACTTTAAAAAGAACCCCCACCATCATCCTCAACAGGACAGTGTCTACTGTGGACTCCTTTAAAGCTACCCAGTGTAGCCATCTAATGTTGAAACTGTATTTATTTTACATCCTAACAAATCTGCTCTCTAGCGCCCCCGTTCCCAAATGGGTATTGCAGCTACGCTAGCCGTCAGGCATCAAGAAGTAATGACAGCATGGCTGTCACATCATGGACTTTTCTCTGGTTATGAGGTTTGGAATTAAAAAAATAAATTAAATAAATAAATAAATAAATTTAATTAATTGAAAAATGAATTTATTTAAAAGAAGTTTAAGTCATTTGACTGTGTCTCTGAAGGAAAAAGTGTTGTGGATTAGCTAGACAGGCGGACTAGTGCTTTATGTCCCTCTCTGCCATTAGTTTTTCAAAATGGCGGATCGCCATGGAAACCTCCTTGGACTTACCCGTCCTACGTATATACGGATAGGAAATTCTTCGTTTATGAGCATAAGTCAGATCATTGCAGAGGTCATTTTAAACCAAAAGAGGACACATTTAGAAACGGAGAAAATGATTTTCGCTAATAAAATACTTAAAATACTACACAATGTGAAGTTGGAAACGGAGGCGCTAGACAGCAGATTTGTTAGGATGCAAAACACAATTTCACTTTTAGATGGAGGGATTCCTACATGAGGAAGCTTTAATACCTGATTTTTGTCATTTTGTATTTTGTATGTAACTCCACTTATGAGAGAAACATCCAGATTCCAATTCCTTGTCTGGTCACACATACTTTAAGAATAAAGCCGATTGTGATCGTGATTCTGCCTGAAAATCCAATTTTCTACCTTCGAAGGCCAGCAGCAGCTGCCCGGCCCGCCCCCCCGCCGGCGTGAGCTCGGCCGGCCGCTGGCCGTCCCCGTCTCTGGCGTTCACGTCGGCGCCAAAGTCCAGCAGCACGGCCACCTGGTCAGCGCTGTCCAGCCTGGCGGCGGCGTGCAGCGGGCTGTCCCCCCCCAGGCCCACGTTCACGCTGGCCCCTGGTCACACGGGTCAGACCGCAGCAGGGGTCAGAGGGCGTCCACAAGGCAGGGGTCCCCAAACCCTCAGCCCACGACCCCAAGTTTTTACCCTATAATGTACATTATTTACAGTTTTTTACAATAATATGTGAAATCTTTACAGTTTTCTTACCCCATAATGTGCATTATTTAGCTTCTTACACTAATATGTGAAATATTTACAGTTTTTTACACTAATATGTGAAATGTTTACAGTTTTTTACACTAATATGTGAAATATTTACAGTTTTCTTACCCCACAATGTGAATTATTTAAATGTTTGCACTAAAATGTGAAACATTTACAGTTTTCTTACCCCCTAATGTGAAATATTTACAGTTTTTTACACTATCATGTGAAATATTTACAGTTTTCTTACCCTATAATGTGCAATATTTACAGTTTTTACCCTATAACGTGCATTATTTAGTTTCTTACACTAAAATGTGCATTATTTCCAGTTTTTTTTAGACTACAATGCTTGGAGCAAAGCAATTTAATGTTGGAAATTCTACTCTGAGATTATCCTCCGTATTTAAACACCATCTGGATTTATTTTTAAGGTACATCAGTGCAGAGAAACGTGCAATATTTACATTTTGTACCCTATAATGTGCATTATTTACACTTTTTTGCACTAAAATTTGCAATATTTACATTTTTTTAACCATATAATGTGAATTATTTACAATTTCTCACTCTATAATGTGCTATATTTACCGTTTTTGCCCTATAATGTGCATCATTTACATTTTCTTACACTAAAATGTGCATTATTTACTTTTTTTTTTTACACTAATATGTGAAATATTTACAGTTTTTACCCCATAATGTGCATTATTTAGTTTCTTACACTGAAATGCACATTATTTACCCTTTTTTACACTACAATGCTGTTGAGAATTTGTTTTGGGTTTAACCAGGATTTGTTTGGACTCATTATTTGGGATATTATCATTTAATATCGGGTAACTATTTTAGTTGCAGTTAGTTCATAAATCCAGTTAGCATTTTATAGTTGGTATCTGGTTCAAAACTGACTATTTGTGGTCGTTTAACAGAATGGACTCAATGTCCCATGATGCTTTGCACAGGTGCAAGAGGAACTGGAGGTTAGATGAAGAAGTGAGAAGTGAGGACTTTACCGAGAAAAAGAGCTATGTTAGCCGATCACCTACACTCTGTTGTGTATTGTAATGTATCATTCGTTCATCCCTTTATTATTATTCACTAAAGTTCAGTTGAACTATCCATCCGACTCCTTTTCGTCTTTGGATCAGCCGAATATACAACAAATGCTTCATGAAGCGCGGGTCCACTACGAACCCGGCCCCCGGGTTGGGGAGGGGGGGGGGGCAGTACCTCTGAGCAGCAGCGCCCTGGAGCAGTCCGTGTGGCGGTGCAGGCAGCTGACGTAGAGGGGGGAGCCCAGGTGGGGCGGGTGGTGGTCCGGGTCGGCTCCGTGGGCCAGGAGGGACTCCACACAGCGGCTGTTGCCTGGATACAGAAAAAAAACCTTTTACTAGGCTTATCCCAATCCAATATTTGGATCGGATCAGATCGATTGCAGATATTTGCAAAAAAATGAGTATCGGCCGGCAGGAGAAAATGCAGATCCAGAATCCAGATCCAGTTTCTTTTACAAAGTCTGATTAAAATAATCCATTCCACTTTGCTATGTCGTTCCCTAATATCCGGTCATTTTCCAGCACCCCCTTAAGCATATAGCATTAGCATCCCCTGACCCACAGCTCTGTGTCCTGACCATAGATAAGATGAACTGACCTTTGTATATATGTTGTATAGTTCTACTCTTGTTTATGTTTTTATCATCTCCTACTGTGATTTTTATTTCTATTTTTTTATGATTTGTTTATAATGTAATATAATTTCTTCATGTGAGGACCCCAGGAAGACTAGTGGCCATTTATTTGGCAGCTAATGGGGATCCTAATAAAACTAAACTAAACTAAACCATTAAGACGGCCATGTTAATTTGAAGCTATCGGTAAAGATGTCAGTTGTGTAGGATTATTTTATCCTTAAGGAAGAAAAAGACGAAAAGGAGGATGCAAAACAGAGTTAATGGACTATTTTCTATTCAGGTTGTTTGTGTGTTTTGCTTTTTTAATACAGTTTACAATATTATTTGCACTTTTTACTGTTCACTGATGCCATTTTAGTTTGTTATTTATAATTTGGTCTAATTTGTGTTTATCCCTGAATAAAACAGGTCAGTGTCTCTTTACCAACCAGTGTGTATTATTCAAACTCCCCCAAATTCAGCTAGTTGTTGTATCAGAGTAAATCCCTGTTCAACATGAGTCTGACAACCAAGTAAGTGGAATAAATAACTTTAAACTTTAACACATGCTCTGATAGGCCGGGATCGGGATGGGGACATTTCTACCCGTTACCCTCGGAATTGTTTGGGTTTCTGTAATTAACTTCAGAGTAGGGTCTGACCTGCTCTGTTTGGAAAGCTGTGAGACAACTGTTGTTGTGATGTGGCGCTATATAAATGAAATTGAATTGAATTGAATTCATTTTAATTTTGTAATGTCACTGTCTGAACGTGTGTTTGGACTGATTTTGTGATTTTGTGATTTCGTGTTGTTTAGTCTTCCTGCCTCAGGACGACAGATGTAAACTAGCAACTATGCTAGAATCTGGCTCATTTACAATCTGTATGAGATTGTTCATTAATGTGCACTGTCCTGATTAAATAAATAAATAAATAAAAAATAAACATCTACCCTGACTCCTTACAGTTTTGGGGCCTTTTGGAAATACAGATAATTTTTTAAGTCTTATTGCAAAACTTTTTAAATGTTGCAATGGTTGCTGACATGTTGGATGCCACCC